AAAAAAAAAAAAAAAAAAAAAAAAAAAATAGTCCCCATAAATGCAAGAGTGGATTTTTTTCCCTTGAAGGTTGTAAGCAGGGCAACAAAACTGAGCATCTTACAGGCTCTTCTGTGTCTCCTGCATCTTTCACACTGATTGTCCAGTGCTCAGTCTCAACCTCCTGATTGGACAAGTGAGAGAAGAAAGCCATAGAAGCCATCAGGGAATCCACAGAAATAGATTAATGTAATGAAGGCTATACAGGCAATGTATGGGTCTACTTACCTCTGATTTCACTGTCGTAGTCTCAGGCTTATTACTCTGGTCAGATACTGATTTCTTGTCTCTGTGATTTCTCTCTGGGTCCTCTTCTTCTTCTCTGTGCTGTCTGTCTCTGGGCTTTCTTTCTGGATCTTCATCTTCTCGGTGTCTCCTCTCTCTCTGTTTGTCCTTGTCTCCTCGCTCTCTGTTGCCAAGACGATGCTTCTCCTCCTCACCTGACCTCTTCACGTCTCGGTGGACCCTAGAGTCACTGTCGTGCTTCGGCTTTTGATCCTAGAGAGCAGCATTCTATGATTTGTTTACCTTTTCTTAAAAAGCAAAAAAGTGTTGGACAATCAATATGAACCTAGACACTTACATCACATCCTCCTTCTTTGTGTCTTCTTTCTCTCTCCTCTTTATGCCGTCTGTGTTCTTCTCTGTATTCTACAATCAGAAAGACAGACATAATGACCTCCTATCAACATCCTAATTGTTTACATATGATGTGATAAATTAACACACTGTCGTACCTTTGCCTCGTTCCTCTTTCTGCTCTGAATGCTTCCTGTCTTCATGTCTTTCTCGCCTTTCTTTGTCAGTCCTTTTGTCCTCACGATTATCTTTGAGTCGCTCTCTCTCTCGATGCCGCTCTCTCTGTTCCCTGTCGTACATTTCTATCCGATCTCGTCCTGCGTCTCCACTGTCCTCGTGTCTCCTCCTCTCCCTTTCAGTCCTGTGCACTCTGTCTCGTTCCTCCTTCCTCCTTTCCTTGTCCCTCTCTTCCCTCCCTTTGTCCCCATCCTCCCTGTTGCGTCTCTCTCTATCCCTCACCCTGTCTTTCTCCTTGTCCCTATGCCTTTCCTCGTCTCTCTTCCGATCATGCCTGTCCTCTCTATCCCTCTTCCTGTCCTTATTCCCTCCATAATCATCACTGTACCTTTTCCCATCCACCAGTCCATCCCTTTCCTTCCTCTTCTCCTTCTCTTTGTCCCTCTCATCTCTTCTGTCTTTTTCCTTATCACCTCTCCTGTCTCGTGAGCCCTCTTTCCTTTGCTCAACGTATCTGTCTTTTCTATCTTCATCTCTTCTCTCTCTCGTACTCTCCCTCTCCCTGTGTTTGTCTCTCTCTTGTCTGGACTCCTTCTCTGGGTCTCTGTGGCGTCTCTCTGTGGATTCCCCACCCCGGTGCTTCCTCTCGCTGCCATCTCGCCTCCTGGCACGGTCATCACCTTGTCCACCCTCCTGAAAAATGAAAAAACAAAAACAATTAGAACAGTTTGGATGTAACTATCATTATTTCTCTGTGTTAGAAACTCATTCATCCCTCCTGCAAACCCTTACCCTGACGTATCTCCTCAGGTCTTCTGGTCTCCATGTGTCTTCCTTGGTCAGTTTCTAAATAAATACATCATCTCGCATTGACTGGATTTCATTAACAACAACACAACAACACTGAGACAACGTAAGAAAACAGCCTCAGTAGGCTTCCACAGCGGACACGACACTTTCTACTAGAAACAAACACTTCCTGGTTTTAGCCTAACGACTCTAAAGTTCTCACCTTGTCACTGTGCATGTTCTCATCTGTGTTGTTTATCGCTGGAGCTTTTAAAACCACCGTAAAATCAGCTCATACTTTCTTAACGACGCCGCCATGACGGTAGATCTCTGACCGCGCATGCGCAGCTGCTCGGAAACCAAGGAGACCGCGTCACTTCAGCCTGACAACAGGATTAGTAAAGGAGAGCAGAGAAGTCGATGGAATCAACACCCAGTTTCCACGGTGACTTTTTAAGAGATTTTAATCTTTCACCACTTTTTAAAATGCGTTGTTCTATCGACTATAACGTTTAGTTCGCGTGTGTGTTGCAGCCAGATGTGTTGTAGGTTTATTTCGGTGTTTAAAATGCGTTAAACGTCTTTCGAGCGATTTCTCTGTGTTCGTCCTTTCTAATGTGATGCATGTAAACAGTCTATGTCAACGACATTAAAAGCGAACTAGCCGGAGCTAGCAAGGTGCTAATCAACACGTGCTTTACATTTCCGTATGTTTTTTATGTGTGCTTTTAAGAATAGAAATATTTAATTCACGCTGACGGTACCGGTGTGATTGTTGCAGCGGCTCGTCCCCCGCCAGGTGGCGGTGTTTTTCTGTTTGTAAGCTAGGCTACGTGCAGGCGCCTCTCTGAGCGCACAGCAGCGGGACCTGATCATTCAACCCTGGTGTGGAGGCAGAGACACTGTGGACTGGACCATCTGGTTTTTTTTAAAGGAATGCGCCTCCTGGATTTTAATCAACGCTTAAGTTGCCAATGCTTCCTCTGAATGCGATGGGCTGGTGTGCAGGTGAGCTTACGTGAGAACAGGCTTCCCCCTGCTCCGGTGCGACCACACATGGGAACCGAACCACACCGTGCCCCCATTTTTTACATTTTCACAGTTTGAACTCCGAGGACACCGAGGCATGCCGAGGGCCAGCATGACAGCGGTACGAGGAGCCCACTCACCCGGTGTCTCACCGAAACAGAACGGACACACGGCGCCGAGCCCCGCGCAGCCCGGCGCCAACTTTCCCGATCTCCCAGCGGGGAGCGCACCCGAAGACGCCCCGGTGTCTTCCACCGGCGAGCTGACCCAGACCTGGGTCCACTTCGCCAAGACGTTCGTTCTGATCTTCCCCATCTACGCCCTGGGCTATTTCGAGTTCAGCTTCAGTTGGCTGCTGATTGGACTTGTTGTGTTTTTCTGGTGGAGGAGGAACACAGGGGGGAAGCTCAGCAGACTCAGCCGGGCTCTGGCTTTCTTCGAGCAGGAGGAGAGAGGAGCCAAGCGGAGTCTGACGACCTCTGATTTACCACCATGGGTGAGTGAAACACAGCACAGGAGATCACGTCCACAGACACACACACACACACACACACCTTAGACCTGAGCTGATCTCTGAGGGGTTTTTTTTCTGAACAATACTTTTGAGTTTCCAAGAATAAAAAACAATCAGGTGTCAGAAGCAGGAGGAGCAGGGATGAGCTGTAAAGCTGCGATGGAGCAGCTGTGCCTCCCAGCAGTGACATTACACTGAGCCCCAGTCTAAATACAGCAGGGTACAATGGTGAACCAGACACCACACTGGAAAAGAAACATGCCCACAGGGTCCCTGTTATTTTGGGATGCACACACTGCTATCTCCCTTGTAGTGCACTCACTCTATTATTATTACTGTAACACTATCCTGGCAGAAAGTGTTAGATAACACTGGGGCTCTTGACTTTTCCTTGTCAGGGTTAATAGTTTAGTTGTTAGGATTTAGCCTGGGACCCACTCATGGGCCCTCAGCAGCCCCTGTATATTAATGAATGGAGAACATAGGTTGCGTTAATGAAGTGGTACCCAAACAGAAAACATACATTGATTTGGAGCAGAGCTAAACAATTGTTATAGTTATATATTAATAAATGCATCTAGTCCCCTGAATAGAGTTTATACAATGATTATAAAATATTAATTTATATTCTATCGATCCATCCTCAGTAAACCTTTACTTGAATTGATTGTACTCTATTTTATTTTTCTGTGCAGTGTGTTTCCTTCTGGGGAGTGAAAATGGAAAGATTTCTTTTTGCTAAAACCTTGTTATATCGACTCAGGGGCCCAGTTTGTTGAGATTGAATTCAATCGAATGGCGTCCAAGGGCAAAATACAGCTTGACAACTGCAAATTTCAGTGAGCTCCAAGTCTCAGCTGCTCAACTTATCAAACTATAAATACAATACTTTTTATATCGGACTCACCCCAGAGTCACAGCTCAACTGGGTTGGGATGTTCAGTGCAGTCTCATGTTTTGAGAACTGCTAAAAGCTTATTCTGCTGACACATGGTCGTGGAGGATGCATTGAGGCTATTAAATTGGGGAGTGGTGGAGCTCGATGGGGGGAGAACAAGCGTATCCCACTCAAGGGAAAGAGGCATCATTACAGGGACTCAGTCCACCCCCTGCTCAGAGTCTGTGGTTTATAAGAGAAACAGTGAGTCAAGCACTACTTTAAATATATCACATCTGCTGCCAGTAGCTTTGCATCCATCACATCACAGGAAATTACATGACAACATCCAGGGGGCGTCACAGTGATTGATCAGTTTGCTTCAGACTGACAGGCTGAGAACGTACCAGTCCTGTCATCGTGGGGGAGATTTTACCAGTTAGACTCATAACTTCTAAATCTTGGCTCGGGCCAGTTTCTCCCCACTAGGGAAATGAATCTCGACAGAGATGGCATTGCTTTCACAAAACCTTTTTTAGCGCCCTGCACACTTTCCCGAACGTCTGCTGCCAAATCCTCAGTGGTATTCACAAAGAGTGAGTCTCTGGCTGACTGGGGATAAGGTGTTTTAGTTTAATGTTGCATGGGAATGAAAATGAAAACAATGCACATATTCTCATAAGCTGTTGTTACGTTCATTTCATTTACAACACTTGTCTGCTTGACCTTTACCAAGCATTGAAACAGCTCTTTATACAGTGCAGTGCACTCCCATGGTCACACAACAATAAAGTGTAGTGCCACAGATACTATGAAGATGACAATGATAGAGATGTTAAATCAAGTATATGTTTTAATACTGAGGCGTTAGTTACTGTCTTTTAAGAAGCCAATATGCTGTTGTTCAAACTCCGCTGGATTTCAGTTAAGTGAAAGCTTTTTTTGTCTGGAGGAGTCAGATTGTCTGAATTGCACTCGGCCTCTCAGTGCACCTCTGTCACAGTGACTTGTAGGCAGAAGTTTTAGAGGTAAGTATTGTGTGTCTTAAAAAGAGATACTACTGTCCATGTCAGCTAAATCAAACTGTCTCTGCCTCGTTAGTTCATGGATCTGTTTTTTCGGAGCTTCATTAAGTATTTAAATGTTTGTTTCTACACTTTTTGTGCTGATTATAGGGAGTTTTAACTCGACTTGACATAAACCTAAATTACTCTTTGTTATACCAGCACAGTAACGATGGCTGTGTCGGAATAAAAAAGATGCTTTGCTCCCATTTTTCACTTCACAGCTTTTTCTCGGGCAGCACTTAACACATAACACCTCCTCCTGGGTAAACCCTCCATCGCTTCACCCACATTTTCTGAATAGGGTCAATGTGTCAGGTGCGATAAAGAAGCTCTGCCAGTGTCTCGTCCAGTGAACTGTTTTATTTTCACCTCAGAACTGAACCATGGGTCTGATTCTGTCATATTATCTTGAACTTTGTGTTCCCCCGTCTCCTTTATCCCGTCAATGCTTCAGCCACACTTTGACGTAAATGCTGGATAAGCGCTTTAGCAGGCTCCATGAGGAGAAGTGCTGTCCCTTGTAGCTGTCGCACCAAGTGTCATATCTCACCAGCGCTCCGGCGGGCTGCATCACTTCATCTTGCAGCTGAGATGAAGAAGTAAACGCCTCAAATTCGTTGTGACGGAGAGGCAGCTTTGTTTATCTGTTATTTATTAAGGGTGTGGTTGGACACCTTTGTGCTCCTTATCAACTTAATTCAGGGCATTTGCTTTTGCTCATGTTAAATCAATGCCTGATTTACTTTGTCTGTTCACAGTGATTAGTGAAAAGTCCAGCTCAGTAAAATTCCCTTCAACCCAATATTGTTGGCCTGATAACACAAATAACAGGAGTGCACCTTCCTCACACTCAACATGTGAGGAGATAGATTCTATACTTTTGTTCATCTAGTGTCAGTTATCTTACATCAGTTAACACAAAATGATGGTCACAGACAGTCCAGATTCCTGCTCCATCCGTCATCATTGCAAGATATCTTAATTTGACTTTGCTCTAGCGCCAGCATGTGGTTGTCTCAACAACTACTGGATGGATGAAACTTGGATGAACCTTTAATACCTCAGTCCCACACATACTTTGATCTATGACTTACTAATAACTGTTGTTATTCTATTTAGCTATACTTTGTGTTCAGTGCTGATTAGCAAAATGTTGCTGCACGACATGTTAGCATTGTCACTGCAAGCATGCTTGTATTAGCTCAAAGCAGCGGTGTGTGAAATTACAGCATCAGAGAGCTGCTGGTGGGGCTGCAATTTATCTTCATCTGTATGGCTCGTCTCACGGTAAAAATACATCATGTCATATATGGATAGGTAATTTAATGGCCACTACAAATATTACAGATTCAGACAGCTTTAAAATGCACTCAAAAATAAGATTTTGCACTGTATAATTCAAGAGCAATTTGAAAGAAATTGAGAAGAAAGAGAAGAACACACTACACATTCAGTCCAGTGCAAACAGTTAATAACACATCGACCTTCTTGTTTTCATCTGGTCGATTCTGGTACCTTGGCATCTGGTATTACAGGCAATGATTTTCTATGAAGTCTTAATTGTGTATGCTGAAAATGAAAACAGGATCTCACACATATGAGTGCAGGTTAATAACTGCAGGCTTTCACACATGAACTTTAAACATATCATTTAGAGTCAGATTCCAGTGGGAAAAAATATCACCATAAAGATAACATGTGAAAAATACTGCGTTATCAGACGTATTGAAAGTAACACATCTGCTCTGTTTCTCCGCCGTAGGTGCACTTCCCAGACGTGGAGCGAGTGGAGTGGCTCAACAAGGTAAAGAATTGAGCGGCTGTCTCTTGCATTTGTTTGCTTGAATGAAAACCGGAGAAAATGGGACGTGTGCTGCCCCCCTGCTCTCTCTCCTCCTCCCACTGGGGCTGTGAACGTTGCCACGTTTCTATGGCACAGCAAAGTGCATTAACCCTTGTTAGTCCCCATGGCAACAACCTGGATGTAAATTTCAGAGCTCTCTTGAGTGTGCAGGCATCAAAATTTCATTTGTTCTTCTCGTGTGAGTCTGACAAGATTTTACCTAAATACTTGAATTTTGAATATTTGAGTGTATCTGTATCATTCACGGTGTGAGAGATGCATCTGTAAGATGTGATGGAAACAGCCTAAGGAGGGTGAAGTTGATGTCGTGATGTTCATATCCCGTACAGCATCATACAATGTCATAAAGTGCACATACGTGTACATGTCCTTAAGTGTAACTCCATTATGCAAAGGGAACCAGTTTTTAGACCATCAACATCAGAACTCTACTGTAATTTATCTTTGAAGTTGATTCCTCTTCCTGTTTCCCCTCAGACAGTGAAACAGATGTGGCCCTACATCTGCCAGTTTGTGGAGAAGCTGTTCCTCGAGACGATCGAGCCGGCAGTGAAGGAGTCCAACGCCCACCTCAGCACCTTGTGCTTCAGCAAAATCGACATAGGAGAAAAAGTGAGCACCCCTCAGCGTTCCTGCACTGTGCTCCTGGGCACTCACACTGAGCACACGTTGTTCCAGCGGCAAAAACAGACTACGAGCAGCAGGTGCCGTTGGGACAGCTGGCGAGGGTGTGTGGGAGCTCGAATGTGGACATACGTACACGCTGATACATGTGCTTGTTTCATAAATAGTTTCCATGTGGGGTCAGGAGAGGGGTCGACCTTGTGCTAACCACGTGGGCATTTTGGAGGGGTGGGGGTGTTGTTGGTGTGGTGTTGATGGATTGGAGGACTGCGGCGACCGTAATGGTTTGTTTCTATTGCGGTGTAGCCACTGAGGGTCAACGGGGTCAAGGTTTATACAGAGAATGTGGATAAGCGACAGATCATCATGGATCTACAGATAAGGTGAGCCAATCAGATCCATGTTTAAATCCTGTGTGTGTGTGTGTGTATCATTATGCAAACTGTTGTCCTGGAGACACCTACTGTTGTGATAACTTCCACCGAGGTACTTTGGCAGGTGTTTATATGTCACTGCAGTTAGGTCAGAATGTCGTATGATCCCATTTTAAGATGGTTTCTAGTTTAATATCTTTAGCATCTTTCTGATTCTGGTTTAAAATCCTTTGGATTTTGATTTCGAATGGTATATAAACGTCAGTTAATTCACTTACTTTATGCATCTGTGTGGCAAATTTAATTCCACTTCACTTATCTGTTCATATTATTATGATGTAATTCTTTCCCTTTGTTCTTCTTTGTATTTTATCTAATTTTTTTAGAGTATTATAGTTTGTATGATAACCTGTATAAGGTGCAATACAAATAAAGTTTGATTGATTTATTGATGCGGTATAGTGGCAGTGAATAAACACAAAAAATAGTCTACAATTGGGTTTTAATCATTTCAAAGGTCTGGAAAAACACCAGCGTAACAGGATTAAATGACTGAATGAGCCTCTGGAGGAAAACGCTGTGATGCGTGTTAGTGTTTGTTCAGCAGGAGCTTTCAAACAACTCCATAAAGATAATGAACAAAACATCAAATCCTCATGATGTCTAAATGTACAAAGTGTCACTAAAGACTTTTTTTTTGTTTTTGTCGCTCAGCTTTGTTGGTAACACGGAGATTGATGTGGACATCAAACGTTACTACTGCAAAGCTGGAATCAAGAGCATCCAGGTGAGGACGTTTGCTTTTGTCTGACTTGTTTCACATCCTCACACAGGTTCGATTTCTCTGCAAAAACAACAAGAAGCACTGAATGTACAAAAGATTACTCCAGGTAGAGGTCTGTCTGAACAGGAGCTATTTTTCCTTTCGTAAAACATTATTTTATAACATTTCTTAATGCTGAAAGCTTTTAGGGTTTAATTGTATATTTAATCATTCTCTGGTCTGAATAAGTAAATGAAACCTTAGACCTCCGCAGATGGAGGAATTTGTGTATTCAGACTCTCGCCAGTCATGAAATAATACAATTCGTAACTTCAAGCAGACAAATAATCATGTAACGCATCTGTGGGTGGACATCTGTTATGAAATGTTCTACAGAGCTGTTTCCTGACAATATTTAGCCTTGATCCCCTTTGATATTAAAAAACGTCTCCTTGTTCTGTTAGTCGCTGTGAGCAGTTCAACCAAAATTAAATTTTTCAGTAATTAGATTCATAACTTGCGACATTTCTGTGTCACTACGTGAAGATCATTAGACTTGTTGAGTTGTGTACTTCATCTCAGATGTTTCCAGCAGTTTTTAACCAGAGAGAAATCTGTTGGTTTAATCAAGTTAAAGTTCGGTTTCATTTTGTCGCCTGTCAGTGGCGTCATATCCTGAATTTTCATGTATCATAAGATAAATGAATCCTTGATTAAGCCACATGGGGCAAATTCAGTTATTGCAGTAAGTATAGACTACAGGAAAAAAAAAAGAGAATAGAACTGGAGTAGCACTCGTATCTCTGCAAAGGCCCAACAGTCCCCTTAAATCAAATCAAGCTGCACCAAGTTGCACACAGTCATATATCAGTGCCATAAATATGCTTTATTTTTTAAATCTAGATACATCCATCTCACAATGTTAAAGTAAGTGGGAAAGAAAATCCTGGATCTATCCTCTGATCTAAACCCAGAGTGAGTCCTCCCACCAGGTTTTGTGGAAAGCTGTGCAGTTGTAATTGTGTAATTCTGCTAACTAATAGAGAAACAGAAACAACCGCTGATGAGAACATAACCTCTTGAGAGAGGTTATAAAATAGAGCAATATAAGAACAATTAGATGCTTAAATGTTAAGAAGTGCAAATGCACCTGACAATCTAGTGACTGAGCAGCGTCTGGGAAACAGATTTTTAACATAACTCTGCTTTTATCTGTTTTTTACTGGTGTTAATCACCTGGTTTGTTTGTCTGGAGGAAGTGAGCTCTGCAGATAATTCAGCTCTTATTAAAAACCTGTCCTTTTGTGTGTTTCTGATGGGGTGAAACATCGCCGTGTCTCCTTGTTAGATCTTGTCCCTTGGAGACATTTGTTGCACACTGGCCTCATTATGTTTCTCAGGCAGACCTACATATCTCTGCAGCTCATTAACACTAATACATCCGTCCCCATCGAGCAGGTCTACGTTACACAGAGCTAACAAGGCTTAGATTACTGACGACTTTGTGAGGAGTGCGGTCAATCAATGCATTAAGTATTGTGGTGGAAAGTTTTCTCAAGATGTGAACCGAAGAGTTTCTCAGACCGCAGTTGTCTTTGGGTGTTAATAGAGCGCCTCAGAGGGTTTCACTCTCAGAATGAATGCTCATACAGTGTGATATACAGGAAACATAAGAGACAAGCATGAACACTAAACACCTTTAGTGTGGTTGACACAGGAAAACATCTGCCCTTGCTTCTGCAAAAAACAGATAAGGGTCAACAACAGGATCATGAACTTTGAGGTTGCATCAGAAACACTCAGGGCATTTGTTAGTTGAAGGTAAAAAAAGAAAATGTTCCATTCCAGTATCAACACGTTGTGTGGCCCCACTCCTCATCAACAAGCCTGTTTAACCTGCAAACAAATTATTTAGGATTGATTTCAAGTTGTCGTCATTTTTCTATTGTAAACAAATCCATTGATTGAGACCCATCTGTTTCTGTGATTCCCTGCTCGTCCGTTGTTTGTGTGGAGAACTCTGACTTAAAGACGCTATTAGTCCTTCAGACAGTTTTGTCAATACAACGATAAATTCACACTATAGCAGCATTTCCTGAAGCGGGAGGCGAGCATATCGTCCAGGTATCTCTGGGATGTAAAATTCGACATAAAGAGGAAACTAAAATGTCAGATTAGTGTGTGAATTCTTACACCCAGGTGAGGTTTATGTCTCAGTTCAAGGTAAGAAATTCTTACATTTTACAGATGACAAATTGACAGATGAGTTTTCCAGGTTTTAAACAATTCACATTTAGAATTAAAACATCCTCTTGTCCCCCACTGAGGATTAGAGCAGCTGTGTGGCGTCCTCATGACACATCCAGCGCTTCCAACACTGTAATCCTCGTAATTGTCATAATAAGTTATGGAGAAGGTGGACGATGACACGGGGCAGGTGTGAAGACAGGCTGCGATCGAGTTTCCAACCTGTCATGCGCTGCAGCTAACGGCTCCACCGCTGAGGAATGTCAAGGGCCAGGATGGTGTCAGTTCCCTTTAAGCTCTGTTGTTGTAAATATGTGCGTGCATGTGTGTTCCTCTTGTTTCCATAGATCCACGGCGTGTTGAGAGTGGTCATGGAGCCGTTGATTGGCGACATGCCTCTTGTCGGAGCTCTGTCTCTGTTCTTCCTCAAGAAGCCAGTAAGTACAGACGTCGATAGAAGGAAACCGCAGTTCACAGTGACACCTGAATAAATGCATGGTTCCAGTAAATGGATTGCATTTATACAGCACTTTTCTAGTCTTAGCAGCAATTCTAAGCACTTTACACTACGAGACACATTCACCCATTCTCACAGCCATTCACACACACTGACTATATCCTGTGTTTTTCTTTCACACATTCACACTCTGAGAAAAAAGCTGTTAACATATGGTTCAGGGTCTTCAGTGCTCAGTGGAGGAGCCGGGGATCAAATCAAGGACCTTCTGCACACGAGAGGATAATCAGGCAGATTATGAATCTGATCCAGTTCTCACGACTATCAGACATGTTTGATATTTACAATTCGAATTCCGGGAGGCTACTTTAGTATGAAAAAAAAAAAACAGATGCTTGTGTTTAGAACATTTGAGAATTCTCTAGCGCAGCAGGCATTAGTGGACGACCCTCTCGGCCCTTCTGAGGGAGATATTAAACTGAGATTTTAATATTATTTGGTTATTAAAACACAAAACCAGGTATTTGAATATTCTCCAGCAGATAAAGGGGTGCAGCAGTCTGACACCAATTCTTTGTTATTATGTTATTTGACACAAGAAGAGCTTACTCAGCGTTTTTCCATCACAAAATGTCCTGGATGTCTTTTATCCCATCAGTGTTTTATTGCATCTCATAAAACTAATTGCTTGCTGGTTTCCTACTTTGCTTCTCTGAATAATGGACAAAAACTGGATTTCATAATTAAAATCAAAGCTGAATCACAGGATGTATTTTTTAACATTTCACAGTCTCACCTGCCAGTGGATTTTTTCGGAATATGCTATCGACAAACGATCCACATCACCTCACAGTGCATTTCACATTACCAGCTGCTTGCATAGCCAATATTTCTCAGTGCACATGCCATCAATATTTCTGTGGAAACCCCTGTGCAGAGCCACTGCTGCACAGCTTCAAAATGTTTGACCAGGATAAACCAAATGGGAGGACCCAGTGGAACTATGGCAGAGCTTTAAATAGCTGCAGATGAACTCAGCCCTACTTTGGCACATTTCACTGCACTCGGCAAAAACTCACGGTGAAGATGTAACTTTAGGAAACTGCAGGGAGAAAACAGCAGCTCTAGTTAGTAAATCATGATGCAGTCCCACATGTATACATATACACACACACACACACACACACTAATGCATCTAAATCTTCCTCCTGCTTCCAGTTGACATATATTAAACTAGCAACACTGTGTTCTGAGGAACCCCAGTAACTCACCGTCCCTACCTCAGGGTGCCATATTAGGTCTGATCCTGAGTACCAAAGGAAACATTTCCAGACCATGAGAGGTCTCAGCCTCATCTGCCTGAGAGGTTGCAGTAATGCGACTCAATGCAGTGTAAATAAAAAGACGTAACACACACTGTGAGAGATTTTATTGCTCCGGCACAGTTGAACAAACACTTTATGTGATGGATCATGAAGCCCAGTGGAAAGTGGAATTCGATTTTGATCGAGCAAAACATTTTGGGGAGTAATCATTTCAATCATTTAAAAAAAAATCCCATAACTGCAATATTTGTGCCTTAAATTAAGAATTTCCTGCTTTTCTCTGTTGGATATCACTTCAAATCTGGGTTTTAAATGAACTGTCTAAATTATTTACAGTTTCAGTCGACTAATTGGTTTCCTCACTTATTATTTTAGACTCATTTACCACTAGGTTTATATTTGGGAGACACTAGTAACCATAAATACCCAAATACAACAAGGCAAATCAAGGGTGTGTCCTTCTACACCATTTCCCCACACACAGCCACAACTCCTCCGACATCACTCGCAGAGCTGCAGTGCTGCCCTCCTCCCTGCAGCGTTCAGTGCATGTGCTGCAGTGGAAGCAACGTGGGCTGAAAAGTAGGATGGAACAGGCTCATTAAGAAAATACTGCTCCTACAGCTCGGAGCATGCAGGAGCACATCAAAGCTTTACTGAGAGAGAGGCAGGATCTGTGTGTATATTCCAGGGACTCACACACCTCTTCTCTTCACCACATTCGACAAGTGAATCGAATTGCAGTTTCTTCACATATTCATCCCTGAATAAAAAAAGAAAATAAATCAGCACTGATGTTATAGTAAAGTCAGAGACTCCACCAGGCTGCACCTGCTTGTATAAATATTTTAGTAAACAGACTATTGTGTTCATTTCCATGTACTTTCTCTCCTGTTGAATATATGAAGTGAGAAAACAGATGTTTTTCTGAGACACTGAGATAACCACCAGCTGGAATAAGTCCCACCTTTTCCCTTTAAATTATTAACAACAATATAGTAGGTTAAGTAGAGATTAAGTTTCCCCACAAAATAAGTGTTGATTTGTTTTGTTTTGCTGCAACTTGTGTAGAACTCTGCTGGTAATCAGTGGAGTTTGTTGGCCAGAGAACAAGAAGCCAAGTGATAAACGAATAGCACAGGACACAGGAAACAATAGCAGTAAATGTTGGGATGAATTTGTCATTCACACCTTCCACTGATCTGTTCTTATTTAGTTATATTGAAACTGAAACCGTCTGTGCTTAGTTTTATGGTTGTTTCTTGTTCTCAGGTTGGAAAAGAGATAACTAATTTCTTAATTTCAATGATTGAACAAAAAATCTTGTTCTTTTAGCTTCTGGACATAAACTGGACCGGCCTCACTAATCTACTGGACATTCCAGGGCTCAAGTAAGTCAAGCTTTTCCTGCTCACTAACAATGTGCCTCTGTGTCATTGGTATGAGGTTTGTCACGTTTGGTTTCAGGAACCTGGACTCATGCCAACTTCATGCCATTAATCACGTTTACGTCGTTATTGTGTCATCATCATGTAGAATGTATTTAAGGTCATTTTAAAGAAATTGTACCTTTCAAATAATTATTCTCAAAGCCTATTTGGGGTTTTAGTGTAGGATAGAAGGAATCACTGATTCTAACATCTTTTAAAAAAGTGTGTATTTTCACTTGAGAGGGTCCGTTAACTGAGAAGATAATTACTCCAAATGTACTGAAAGTACTTTCTGCTAAACAGTTGGTGTGGTTCCTGATGTGATCGATGCCTCAGGTCCTGCTCTCAGAGCGTGACCAGACTGCTGATTTAGGTTAACCTGTACTTCTTTTCATGTCAAGCACTTTACAAAAACGCTCTGAGATCAAGCATATTGTGAGCAATTGTGTTACTTATATCCTTATTTTACCTTTAATAACCATATAAAGATAATGGCTTCATGGTCTAACTGGTCTGAAACAGGTCAAATCAAGAAAAGTGTTGTGAGACGATTGATCCTTGTTTACTTTGTCTTGCTCATGTTCAGTGTCTTCTCCCAGCAGGTTGTTGTGTTGTGCGAGCGGCGATTAAATGAGAGTTGATTAAAAGTTGCCAACAGCGCAACACAATTACTCGCTGCTGTCTCGAGAGGTTCATACATAATTTACGGCCCAAATAATGTGACACATGCGCAAGTGCTGCATGTGCTTTTCTGAGACTACGGCTGTGTGTCCTATACCCTGCTGGTGAGGACAGACACGTTGACACAGGCACGGCTCAGGGACCAGTCTCCCCTCAGCCCTTATGTTTGATTTCTTCCTGTGGGTGTAATGGATCCACAGCACTTGTGCAATGCAGCATGTGACTGTCTGTGTGTACATGTGCTTGTGCGCTTGGCCGTGTTGGCTGTGGAGGTTCCGGCTGCTGACGGACAACATCAGCTGCTTGCTCTGTTGCAGCTGATGTTGTCATCAGCAACATGTCTCACTTGTTTATTTACATGTTAGAATATGTCAGTACTGCTGAGTTGGGTTTAAAATCGGAATCAAAACAAGATTGAGTGTCTGCAGCCATGCTAGCAGCTCTGTGACACTGCCTGGATGTAGCAATGCTTAGAATGAAGATGCTAACACAATGAGTTTTAGCACATATATTGTTCTTAGGATAGCTAACATTGATTATTAATGCTAAAACGCCACTGTGATGTCACTCATTGGTTTGTGAGCTGCAGTTTTGAAGCCTCGTGTTCTTTTTCTCTAACACCATATTGTTTTTTGAAACCAGATGTAACCATATTTGGAAGAGCAGGACAGAGCAGACAATAGAGCATATCGTGCTTTATTGTCTATTTTACTCTAAATGGGACCATTATTAACGAAATTAACGTCAGGCTGTATTGAAGAAGACTTGACCTGATGTTATAAATCAAGTGAGAAGTCATTTTCTCATAGACCTCTACAGAAACGGACTTCTTTTAAAACCAGTGGAGGGCGCTCTGCTGGTATTTGATAGAGTATAAGTTTCAGACACTTCCACATTGGCTTCACTTCCCGGACCTGGAGTCTACGCCTATTTATATGTACAATCTACGCACTGAACACAGTTGTTGTACGATGATGAGAATGTCGTTAGTTGTTTATTAGTCATGAAACAAAATATTGACCTTATTAAACATTTTGATTCGATGACGCACCAGAGGAAAAGTCAGGGGACGCCAAAGTGATCACAATTTATCCTAAGGGGGACATGGACGTTTGTACTAAGTGTCACAGCAGTTTATCCAATATTTATTTTGACATTTCATGGATGGTGATGGATGGTGGCGCTAGAGGAAAAGTTAGCAGACCCCAAAAGTAATCTAAAATGTACCCTCACTGTCAAGTCCTCCACCTCAGAGTCGTGGAGATATTCAAGTCTGGTGTGCCAGCACACAGACATCGCCATCCTCAGAGCTGTGCCACCAGGATAGCTAAAACATTATTGCCTGTCAAAAATGATAGACATTTGTCTTTTGTTATTGGAATGTTTACCCCGGGGGTGCAGCAAGAGCTGATGCAGCAGGTTTACACCTTTGGTTCTGGAAAGGAAAAAAAAGCCTTGGCTCTGATTAGAGTCATAATGTCTCTAATCGGCTCACAGAGAGGAGCCATAGCCCACCGTTTCATCGGAGGATCAGCTGATGATTGATCAAATGAATGTTTCTCCTGACTCCAGACAAACACAGGTGGCTAAATTAAGTTCGTTTCATTGGAGTCTTTGTGAGAGGAGATGGTATCTCTGCGGCTTCAGTGTCGTGTCGTAGAGAGGCTGTAGGAAGCTTCTGTTTGTAAAAGAATGTTTGGTTTTGTCCTGAAGGGGCCTCTTATCAGCATTCTCACAAATTTATGATAAACAATCACATTACCTATATTACAGTAATAAATTCCAAGATTGGAACTTAAATATAGAAATCATAAATCCTGGAACTCGTTCACAATCTAGACCGTGTCACGGCTGCTGTCAAATTATCCCCCGCCGGCAATCCGGGTGGTTTGACATTTAGATCTCATCAATCTCATTTTAGTGTTTCTTGTAAGCAGAATGTTTTACATAATCAAACTCTGTGTTTGCTGGTGGACTCTGGATTTTCAGTCTGAATGGTTAGTTCTGGCCTTTTTAGCCTGTGATTGCTGCTGTGTATTATGAATTGACCGAGAGCGAAGAGGAAATTAGTGGGAGTTAGTTGTGAGCCTTGCAATCACAGAAATATTTATACACTGCTCCACAAGAGCTGAGAGCAATAACTATAAAATAAAACCCCACAATATCCATCTTCTTCAACTTCCTTTTTAATTACGCTAATAAATTAATTTGTAATCAGGTTATTTATGTGTGTGGTTCAAAGGTGAATGGAGGTTGAGGCTGCAGAGAGCTTCTACAGGTATAGTCTGCTAAACTATGCCAGGTAGCCTTTGGCATTATCTCCTATTCGGGGAACCACATTGTTTACACCTGGTAAATCGGATCATGGTTTCAGGCTCTGGGCTCAGATGGGATTAGAGAAGATTTTGAAAAACGTAGGCTCCTTCAAGTCCCTTTTTAAGTAAGGGCTTTCATTCACTTGAGGATTAAGTCTTATCAGTCCCCTGCTTTAATCATCATTGACAAACTGGAGACATAAGATCCTATATCATTTAGGAAAATGATAAGGGTGTGTATAGAACCTGCACATGATAAATTTTGACTTGAATGACGCAAACAATCCATATTTCAAGTTTTAAAAATCAATAAAGATATATGATAAAAGATCGGATCATCAAAAGTATGTTTCCATTGCAAGAAACAGGAAAAAGAGGTTAAATTAATATGTCCATATGTTAGATTTAAGTATCCAGAAATCTGTTCTGGCAGTTTAATTTTAATTTTATTTTCAAGTTCTTGTTGTTATTTCCCCCAAATTACCCATTTCTATCGCATAATCATTTTATATTCAGTAAAATGTTTAGTTAGCTCAGCTTTGGCCAAGTATGCATTCTACTGTGTTTTGATTTTCTACAACTGCAATGCTTGAACCACTGTAAGTGCATGTTCTTGGTTTGGAGAGCCTCACTGGAACACATGGGCTGGAGTAGCTCTGATCACTCCAAATACAATCTCAGGATCACTTCCATTTGGTGTCTCAGGCAGTTTGTGAACTCTTTAGATTAGAACATCCAGTTCAATATATACGAAAGAGTTGTTCTGTAAACACAACGATTGTTTTTCAAAGCGCGGCCCGATACCATGCTCTGACCTCACTGTCATTATTGTGGCGTGGTGTTGAATCATTAGAGGATCACATAGACATTCACAGGTTTCTTGGTGAGCAGCAGCAACATGCTTGGACCAACTCCAGTTTTCCTACTATCTTCTCACATGCAAAACAGAAATGTACTGCACTAAACTGAGATTAAAGGAGAATATTTATTACCCAAGGGCACCCTTACTGTCTTTTAAATAATTCATTGCTTTATTCTGTTTATCTCTCTTTCCCCACTTCTCTCCACCCTTCCCTCTTTCTCCACAGTGGCCTCTCTGACAGTCTCATTCAAGATATAATCTACAGTTATTTAGTTTTACCCAACCGTGTCACCATCCCTCTGGTCGGGGATGTGGAACTCGCCAAGCTGCGCTTCCCTATGCCAAAGGTACTAATGCAGTTTTTAAAATGCCTCCAATTAACTCCAGTATGTTTATAATGGCTCTTCTAACTGTCCATGTTCATATACTCAGCTGTAAAACATCCAGGGAATTCATGGTTACTGGCTTTAAGCCTTGATTGGTTCTGTGTGCTTTACTTTTTAATCATAAAATTGTTTTCAGGGATTCGAAGTAAACGCTCAGCCTTAAAACAGAACGAAACTAAAACAACAAAAAGCATGTCAAGGCTGTAGCGCTGCTGTCTGTATCCATGGCAACAGCATACAGACTTCCGCATGTGCCAGTGTGAGCAGTGTCCTCATTGGGGTTAAACAATTTCTACTCATTAAAGTGGAGCCACGTTAGTTGAATAATTGATTGAGAATTAATAAATGTTAACAATTATTCTTCTTTATACTTTATTAGGCAACTATAGATAAAATATCTAAATAAATAGGTAAATGTACAGTATAAACACAAGGAAATAATATACAGTGCACAGTGTAAAGTGAAAATATGAGCATCTGCTTTTATCTCTGTTATATGTTTTCATATTGAAGTTTATTGAATTTCAATGTAATGTTTTTGTGAGATTCAGACAAAAAACAAACCAGGTTCTGTGATTTTATAGACTAAACATTTAATTGCTTAATGAAGTAAATGGTTTAACAGATCAGTTAACAATTGAAATAAATGATTATAGCAGCCCTAGTCCGATGTTGGTACATGTACATACACACTAGTCTTTAGTGAAAGTTACAGTGTAATGTAATTAGAAACTGATCTAACTTTAATCACAAACATCTAACTCTGGAAACAAGCCACACTTTCCTCTCACTCTGCCTCACACAATCGTTCCGAGCACTCTAGGTAATGTCACATATTATCAACTCTGACTCCACTGTGGCCTCCAAGTGTCACATGCTGCTATTTCCGAGTCGCTCCCCATTAACGCTGTGCTCCGCACGTGTCCACAGGGAGTCCTGAGGATCCACTTCTTGGAGGCTCAGGATCTGGAAGGGAAGGATAAATTTCTGGGAGGGCTGATCAAGGGCAAATCCGACCCTTACGGCATCGTGCATATTGGCAACCAGCAGTTCCGGAGCAAAACGGTCAAGGAGAGCCTCCATCCCAAATGGAATGAAGTTTACGAGGTGACAGGTTTGAGCAGCGGTGGACATTAATAACATCGTAGTTTTATTTCAAGTTCTTTCAATTCGTTACAGAAGATATATAATCCGTCTATTGATTGATTATTTAACGTTGTGTTCGTCAGGCACTGGTTTACGAGTACTCAGGTCAACATCTTGAGATCGAGCTGTTTGATGAAGATCCGGACAAAGACGACTTCCTGGGAAGGTGAGTCTCTCTCATTTTTGCTCTGATCCTGTCACACGTATATCAGAAGAAACATAGTCTGTACGAACAAGCTTTCTTTGTTGTCTACCAGCTAACAGGCAAGCTACGGATCTGGTATATTGTTACCTATTAATGTTGAAACCTTGGGCGGATTGTCGAAGGTATCTCTGCCTACATCAATTAAAGTGAAGTAGAGATGTTGTTCCACAGGCTCAAGGGCAAAAAAAAGATTATTTTATCCCAAGGCTGTAACACAACACCCAGTGCTGGCCACACAAGGCAGTCAATCAATACCTGGACTCACTCTGTTTGGATTAATAGGTGTCATTTGTCTTTTTAGTGTTTGCCATTCAAATTTGAGTAATAATGTCCCGTTATTCACAGCCTCATGATCGATATGACTGAGCTACACAAAGAACAGAAGGTTGATGAGGTGAGACACTTTCAGTGCCCATTTTATATTGTCCCTTTGATTAGAAGTTGTTGAGAGTTCCATGAAATCTGCTTATTCACCTTCCTTGTCCAGAGTTGTATGAGAAGATTGATTCCCTTTTGTGCATATGTAAATAAATATAAAGCTACAGCCAGCAGCCGGTTGCCTTAGCTCAGCTGAAGACTGAAATGGTGAAACACAACCTGGCTCTGTCCAAAGATGACAAACTCAGCCTTCCAGCTGCTCTAAAGCAGCTTTCAGACATACACTTAGCTGTATGTGAGAATGCAAATGTCAGACCCAGTTGTTCCGGACTTTTTGCAGAACTTTTCCTGCCATCACCTGGTAAATAATCCAGAACATTCACAACGAGTCAGTGGGCGGATGACTGATGTCTAAAAACATCTCCACAAGCATGTCTGTTTTTTTCACGGATGAAAGAATCTGGATATAATGTATATATTAAAATTGGTATATGAGTTTTAGAGGTCAATCTTGTCATCGAACTCTCCATAGGAAAGCAAATACATGAATTTCCCTAAAGGTTGAACTCTGTCTTTCCGTCAATGACTTAATGTTTTATTCCAGTGGTTTGACCTGGAAGAAGCTCCCACGGGGAAGCTCCACTTAAAACTGGAGTGGCTGTCTCTGCTCTCCACTACTGAGAAGTTGGACCAGGTAAAATAACATGTTTATAATGAATCGTGCTTAACCAGGACAGTAGAAGACGTCTGTCATCACTTGTCCTGTCCTTCTCCTCCAATCAGGTGTTGCGGAGTGTGCGGGCAGACAGAAGCCTGGCCAATGACGGGCTGTCGTCAGCACTGCTGGTGGTCTATCTGGACTCAGCAAAGAACCTCCCAGTAAGAGACTGCATTCTTTATTTTGACATTGGCAATGTTGTCCGGAAACTGTAGCTTAATGTACTTCTTCTAGCACTGACATATAATTGTTCTCCTCCCAAAACAAACACACACACACACACACACACACACACACACACACACACACACACACACACTGAACCATTTTAGTAAGACATTCCAGTGTAGCACTCTTTAAAAACGGATTATTGATGAATGTGTAGCAATGCCCCACTCTCCTGTCACCATACTGTTTCATGCTTTGTGACACTTCATCACATTTGCTTTTTATGTTCTCTGTAATTTGTTTTTCACAGTTAACAACACAACCAGGCTCGATTTTTTTCATTATTTTCTTCATTATCCTTAATACAGCAAACCTAGTCTGAAAAGAACCAGTGCATTATGGTTGTAGCCTGTTGTACCACATGGCTCTTTAGTTAAATGAATGAGTCATTACTTGTCAAAGATTCTGTCTCATATAAAATAATATGAGAACCGTGAATCTTTATAACCTCAATCTTCAGGAGCCCAAAAAACCGTGTGCTAAACTATGTTCTTCCAATAAGGTTTAAAGTGCTGTCATTGCATTAAAGGTCATAAAGAGTCTGGAGTCCTTCGGTTTAATATCTAATTTTGATATGACACTTGTTGCCAATGTCAGTCCTCATAACTCTTTATTCTCTTTGCCTCTTCATCCAAGAGTGTCTTCACAGGCAGCTTAGGCTGTGGAAACTTGAGTGAGAGGAGAGCATCTGGCCTCGTCTTTTGCGAGAGCAATACTTCAGCGTATAGAACAATATTTGTGAGTCCTCCAGAGCGTTTGCATCGTGACGGTGTTAGCATTAGCAGTGTGCAATGATGTGGATTGAACAGTAACAGGTGTTTTTAAAACCTGTATCTTGGAGCATGTGTTAGCTGCACGACTGTAAACGTCTAATGAAAGTTTCTCGTAGTTTCCAATAACTATTAACAAGAAGCAGACAATCAAACCGAAGACTCAGGTCTAGTTGATCTATGCCTGATTGTTACGCAGATGCATTTTTTTTGGGCAAATTCTCAAGCTTAATTCAAGGCTAAATATCAGATATGTACAGTAAGATCCTGCTTACAGAGCGAATCATTTTCTCTGTCTGTATGAGCTCATTAAAACATTTCCACTGTGGCATAGAGTGTTTATCAAGATGGACGACTTGCCAGCTGCCTAAAAGTGAAGCCAAATCATCTGGATCGCCCTCTGGTGGCAGGTTGCAGTTCAGGTCATAAACTCCGCCTCCTCCATGTAAGTGGATGGGACCAAACTAAATAGTCAAAGTACACGTCAAATAAACTTTTCAGAAAGCTTTTATCTGTCATTTTATGTAGTTATCATCACACTGCTAAATCTAGTTGTTACGACATACGCAACTAGATTTAGCAGTGTGAGCTTCCTGCAGCAGCAACAACACCATCCCTCACTCTCCTTTTCATCTTTTACCCACATCATACATGTTTTAATTCTAATTATTTCTGGGTTTGTCTCACGCCTCTTCTTCACCATGCCAAATCAGTCTCGTCCTACTAACTGTGGGTGTGATTTTCTCCCCAAATCTCCTTGTGGCTTAAAGAGCAACCTGTCAGATTTCACCTATGACGGGTTGAAGCAACTGTCAGTCTTTAAGGCCCTGAAGGTAATGTGGGAAAATTGGATGGCATGTGCACATTGTACACCCTGTGTCTCTCCTGTGTTGGCCCTCAAGCACCATCTGATGTCACGTGATTGTGAAACAAGCAATGTGCATGAAGGTGGATGGTTGTACCTTCTGTCGTGTGTCTTGTTTGTGCTGTACACCTCTTTCTTTCTTTCTTCATGTGGATGTGCATGCAAGAGTTTAATGTTGCACTCAAGTGTTACTTAACTCAAAGGGCAATTATCAGTCTTTAATCTTTTTATGGTTGATTGAAACTGTCAATTCTTAAGCATATTTAAACAGACACTGTTACACTGGTCCCTCAATTTTGGCGCACTAGAGGTCAATAAGTTTTCAACAGGACACATACAGAGCAACACACTCTGCGTTACTACAAGCTAGAGTTAACAAAGAATGTTTCTTTGTTCGGTCTGTTAACCACTGTTGTAATCAATTGATCAATCAGACTTTATTTGTGTAGCACTTCTCATACAAACAATAAAACACAAATTGCTTTACAGAATAAGATCGCCTAAAATAATACCGCCAGGGAAAAACAAACTAGGACTGAAAAAATGCTGCCGTAAATCTCAGAAATTTAAAATGAGGAAACGGCAAAGGCAGCTAAACAAAGAAAAATATAGGGATCAAATATTAAAAGAGGTCAGAAAAGATCAAGATAAAATAATAGTAGTGTTAAATAAGACATTCTAATAAAATAGAATACAATGATGCGTCTGTGAAACTGTCAAAACTTGACAGATAAATAAGTATAGTCCAATAAAAACTCCATGTAAATGTAGGTTTTGAGTTTGTCATTTAAAAAAATCCACATTCTGTGTTGCCCTCAGGTTTCAGGGTGGCTGTGTCAGGGGCGAGAACAATAGTGATACAAATATCCCTCACTGTGGGTTTTTCAACCATGATTTCCCTGTTAAGTAAAGTGATAATATTACAAGCTAATACGTCAGCTGTTCATTATCAAGCACAGCCTCAGGTTTCACAAACCCTTACTCAGAAATCAACTGCTGCATTGTTCCAGGTGGCACGAGTCGTCTGTTGCTGTTAACGTTTCCAGGAAGTCTCCAGCATCCCATTGTCACACACTCGGTGACACTCCCTCTGTGGAACCCGCCGCAGCATCGTGTGTCAGTTTTATTCGGTGTTACGGGGCAAATGAAGTGCAAACACTTTCCTTCCCTTCAGTCTGTCTGTACCGAGGACATGTTTGGAAATCTAAAATGCTGCTTAAATGTGGCAAAGTCTCCTTGTGGGTCTGACATCAGAACAGAGATTCAGAGAACATTGGGAAATATTGTGGATGAACACGTCTCTATCATTGAGAGTGAATTCACAATGAGGTAGACACCAGTGTGAGCTTCAGTCCAACATATGGGTCTCTTGAAAAGACAAATCTTCACTAAAAACTTTTGTACTGTTGCATTTTAAATTAAATTGATAACATAGATACTTGGCATTAGGCTCCATATAAATTGATCTCAGTATAAGTAACTGCCAGGAAACCCTTTTACAGCCTTGAGTTTAATTAGCCTCCATGTTGGTCCCTAGATTAAACATCTGATTGGCAGCATTTGACCTGGGGCCATTCGCCCAGGGCTAATCAAACTGTCATGGGTCATTTTTTTTCCTCCAGGGAAAACATTTAACTGGCTTCTCGAAAACGTAACCTGTCCCCTAACTATAAAGATCTTTTCCTATTTGTCCATATGATCATATTGGTGTGTTGATTTTTCTTTTACATATTTTAAATTCACACAGAGTAAAATATTCAATTTAACCTTTCCATATGCATGATGTCTCCATGCTGTCAGCCACAGAATGCAGTATTACTCCTGCAGAGCTGTAAAACAGCAACAAACCAAAGGAAAACATGGTGAATGAAGTGTATTTATACAGCGGTTTCCAGTCATATCGACCACTCAAATCACTTTACTCAATCACTCAGACATTTACACAGTGTATCAATGCAGCACTTTTTGTATCACACACCTTTCTCACACTGTCAGCACAGCCAGGGGCAATTTAATAGGCCAGTATCTTGCCTGAAGACACATTGGAATGCAGACTGAGATGCCAGGTATCGAACCACCGACCTTTTGAATAGTGGATGACACAACCACCTCGCATAGCTCAATAATAAAATAATCTTTCATTAATGGAATATAACAACATTAAAACCGTATATAATAATAATAATAAATGATACATTTCATTTATGTAACACATTTCAAAACAGTTATAAAGTGCTTCATAGGAAGACAATAAATAACACAAAAGTAGAAATAAGATATATAAACAGTTCAGATAAAATTAAACAAAAAAGGTTTCTGGAAGAAGAATGTTTTGAGGTGTTCACATCGATGCCTGTATTGATATAAGCAATTCATTCAAATAAGCAAACAACACGGATTAAATCAAGAAGCATTTTCTAGTTGAATTATGTTCTGAGGTACCTACCAGTGTAAATAAAGCAATTTATAAGAAAATAAAATGAGTAAAGTGAACAAACAACACACTGACTCTGCCAAACACCTTAACAGGGGAGAAAAAAATGAGAAACCCTCAGACGGAGCTCAAGAAGCAACACAGCAATGTTTCCTCCTTGTATTTAGCAGCCCATGTCTACAATGTGCAGCTTCATTCTAAAGTTGGTGAGAAATAAAGTCAGTTTAAGCTCTACCCTCCAGTGGAAGAATGGGTTTTCAAGTAGTCTCCATCCATTGTCACAGCCCCTGGCTTATAGATGTGTAGGGTATTATTATTCTGTAAGCAATACTGAATAATACTTAGCTGTCAGAACTCGGTGCACTAAAATTAGACTGCAGAGGAGACACAACTTGGCATGTTAGCCTCTCCGCCTGCAGCCCTGCCTGTCATGAGGGTAGTCGACTGTGTTCACCATCGAGTGCTCGATAAAGACTCACAACAAGCTCATGTTTGAGTTTGGGTGTAATTACTTTGTGTGTCGGTGATGGTTCTTCATCGAGGAGAGTCAGCTCACACGCCCATGTCTCTGTTTCTCCAGCAGGCTGGGAAGAAGAGCAGCTCCGAGCCCAGCCCATACGTCCAGTTCACTGTTGGACACAAGTCACAGGAGAGTAAGGTGAGTCATAGAGTCCATTACTGTTATTACATTGTCCAATTTGTCCCGGCTTTGTTCTCCTGAAATGATTTATCAGTCTGCAATTTGAGGTTATGAGACAAGGAGAAAAAGTTCACTTGTGCTGGGGATTTTTTAAGTTGTAGAAAGTATTTGGACGACCAAGACATGAATACATGATGACCAAAAGCTCCATTGATCGATTTCTCTGGAATAGTGTTTTTTAATTAGCCGCTCTAAGTGTCCAATTAACCACTAACAAACCTTTCTGTCCATAAAGATCCGCTACAAGACCAAGGAGCCTCTGTGGGAAGATTGTCTCTCATTCCTCGTCCACAATCCCAGGAGGCAGGAGCTGGAAGTGGAGGTAATCCTGCATAACGACTCATGACAGCATGTATTTTTCATAAGCACGCGCTCCAAAGAGTGGGAGGAGCTGACGAGCTGATGTTTCTTCTTCCTCAACACACAGGTAAAGGATGACAAGCACAAATGCACGCTGGGTAACTTGACGGTGCCTTTGAGCAGCCTCTTGGTGGAGGAGGACATGACGCTGACTCAGTGCTTTCCTCTCAAGAACTCGGGGCCCAGCTCCACCATCAAACTGAAAATGGCTCTAAGGGTAAAAATGCTTTGCCTGTTTGTGTGTGTTTACTGTTATAGAACTTTATATTATATCAAAACATACGCAGCATGTTATTCCAAAACTTTTCCCGTCTCGAAATCCTTTAGATCCTGTCCCTTGAGAAACAGGTTTCCTCCGACCAGCCGTCCTCCGTTCGGGTGAGGAAATCCAGCGTGCCGCTGCCACAGCCACAGCCGACCACGGCCCCCATCCAAAGACGCTCGACCTCAGACTCCCCGCTGCCTCCGCCCACACCTCCCCCACCCCCTGTGAACACTTCCACCCTCACCCTGCAGCACAGGGACGGCGAGCCGTACGCCGCCAGCCCTCGTCGCAGCGTCTCCAACCTGAGCACCTGCATGTCGAGTTCCCAGAAACACCTGCCTCACAACGAGTCCACACCGAGCCTGGCCTCGGATATCTCTCTGCCCTTCGCCACGTTGGAGCTGCAGCAACGGCTTCGTCAGCTGCAGAAGTAAAAAAGCAAAAATGATCTATTATTTTTATATTTGTTTCCAACCAAACGTCTTCTTGCTTTTCCTGACCCCATTTCAGAGATTTTCATACTTCATTTTAAATCGTTTCACCTTGATTCATTCATGTATCTGTTTTCATACTTTCTCGACCTTTCAAACAAATCGTCTATCTCCGCATTCATTGACTTGTGTGCTGTATAAATTCAGTTGCAGTGTCTTGACTTGACCCTGACTGTCTCTGGTGTGGTTGCAGCGGCTCGGCCGTTGGCCAGCACCCCCTGGGTGAGGTCCAGCTGACTGTTCAACACAACTCCCAGAGGAACAAGCTCATTGTGGTGGTGCACGCCTCCCGGTGAGGTCCACAGCTGACTGCCACTGAATGTAAAACTGTGTTTTGCTGTGAAGCATTTAGAGTCTCCAGAGTGTAGTTTGAAAGACTGTTTTTGTCCTTGATTTTTGGCTGAAGTCTCAAGTCATTGTGATTCGTGGGTCGAGACTCTTCAACAAGCCGACCATCATGCTTCAGTGTGGAAATATACAGCGCATTTTACATACATCAATAACCAGAGCAACATGTGCCTGGCAACATGTGAGTGAATCATTTTTGTCCTGTGTGTCCTCAGTAATCTGATAGCCTTCACCAAAGATGGCTCCGATCCCTTCATCCGGCTATATCTGCTGCCTGACAAGAGCCGGACTGGGAGGAGGAAGACCAGCACAATGAAGAGGACCCTTAACCCTGTTTACGATCAAACGTGGGTTTAGAGAGTATCACTTCCTTAATAATCCTGTCTGTGCATATTTGTAATATAAGAATTATTGTTATTATTGGTTTGATGAGTGTGGTTGTTTCTCTGCGTTCTGAAATCTTTATACTGTATTTTTTATGAATTTCTAGTTTTAGAACTTGTGAATACATTCGACAGCTGACTCTGTTTTCATAGACCTTTAAAGCTCATTTGGTATCTTAAGGATGTAAGAGTTGTAAGACTGCACTTAGAAGTTGCAGTCATGGAATATTTTCTAGTATGTCAACAATTTTCTCAGTAATAAATATTTGATCACAGCGTTAAATGTCTGCAGCAAAGCTTTGCCCTCTCTGAGCAAAGATACAGTCAGACCAGAAGCAGATTGGATTCTGTCTCCAATTTCAGAAACACTTTGAGGGATATTCTGCCAATTTGGTCACAGTGACCTCATTTTAAAATGTGAACGTGTTCTATCACCAATAGGGAATTTCATTACATTTGGCACAAACATTCACTCAGACTCAGGGATGAGCTGATTAGAATGTGTTATTGGTTTGCAGTTGAGTAATAAAGCTCCAAAGATTTATGTTTTATGTCCTGTTATTCTTTTTTTTTTATTAAGTATTTCAATTTGAGTAACTATGGTGTCATTAAATGTTTGTGTACACGTTTGTGTTTTTATAGGTTTGAGTTTAGTGTATCTATGGTGGAGCTGCACAAGAGAACTCTGGATGTCGCAGTGAAGAACGGAGGAAGCATCCTGTCCAAACACAAAGGGCTCTTAGGAAAGGTAAACTTCCTCTTCTGTTTCCATCCAACTTCTCTAGCAACAGAGCTGGACCCAACTTCTCTAGTAACCTAATTTATTTCTTACTTTTTATTAAAAATTGCAGGTGTTGGTAGATTTAGGTGGGGAGGATGTAGCAAGAGGATGGAAGCAATGGTAAACTTTATCTCTTCTCCTGTATATAATTGAGTCAGTTCTTCAACCAATAATCAGCCTGTTCCATCGCTTAAATATTAAATTGTATTGTGTTTTCTTGCAGGTATAGTTTAAGTGAAGACGGATCATCATCTCAAGTCATAACAAGCATTCAAGACCCTCTCCTCACATTGTGAAACCATGTTTCTGCTGTAGTGTAGTGATCTTGTTAATCCAAGGGCACATTATTTTTATTTTTCATATAATTTACAGGATGTTTTTTCAGCATGTTTGTTTATGAACATTCTCTATAAATATTTCATGAGTGATGATTTGAAGATATTTTCACATATTGTAATGAAACTCACAAACTGACACGCCTCTATTGTCAGTGTTTTATGTAAATATAACGTTGCTAATACAGTTACAAGGACTGGCAGGGGTTTTCATAACGTTATGTTTCCTTAAAGGAAATGATGTGGAAATCCGTCAAAACTGTTTTTGCTTTTTGTCCGTAGTTTTATTTAAATGGGACAAATTTGTCGTGTGAGAAAACTCTTTCCAAAGGAACAGAATCAATCACAAAAGTAGCAGTTTTGACTTTTATATATATTTTTTGTCATGAAGTGTTATTTGATTGTTTATCTCTTATCCGTCTTTATGCTTGATTACAAACATGGAATGCAGATATGCAAAGAATTAAAAAAAAAAAAAAGATTGCTCTGTGTATTTTAAGAGGACTTTGTGCAATACTGTTTGTTTGAGATATACTGAGGAGCTGGTGGCATCTTAGGGCTATGAACAAGTTCTGTATAATACGAATGAAGGATACTTGAAAAATACTTTGATTGTTGTTCAAACAAAATGAGCAAACTGAGACAATGATTTTCATTTTCTGAGCCGGGCTGACTGATGTTAATGTTTTGCCACGCAGTTGTAACTGTTTGTTGGAGCTTTTAAATCTTTTCTTGTTCTCTATCCTGTGCCTTAAAAACCCACTATGTAATTTATTGGCCTTCTTAATTTCATTATTCTGAATGACTGGTGCCTCATGGCTTTTGAAGAATAAACCGTTTCTCTTCTGAAAACCGTCTCACCAGTTTTTACACGTTTGGTGTCATGAAATATTCCCACATTAGATGTAAATATATAGATGTTTACTGAAGGTTGAGTTCCTCTGGTGAAATAACATATTTCATTGATCTTTGAGAGTGAAGAGAAGTAAGCAGGTAAACAAACAGTCCTTACAGATGCTTCTTCAAATGTTAATTCAATGTGGACAATGTGAAAGTGGATTTTAGTTACTCAAGGTCTGCTTTGGATCATTGTCTTGATGTAGCCTATTTTCACTGTCAGGTTCTCAATAGAAACTCGATAGGAAGCCACACAACCACAAAGCTTCTGTCATCTTTTAATGAGTCGGCTAAATTCTGACTCAAAACGTGCACATGACACAATTTTCCTGTTTTTTGTTTGTTTGTGAAATAGTGACGATGCATTCAAATTTATTTTTAATGCATTTTTGTTGCAGGGGTGATATGATTTTTATTTTCACTTCAAAAAACAAATTAACATGTGATTTTCTTGCACCAGCACGGTTGGGTTGGGAGATGTAGTGTTTAAAATGCCCTTGGTGGTGGTGGGGGGGGGACTACAAATTGGACCTTGCAGAATAATTTCCCTTGAGCACTGGGCCCTGGTCGATAACACAGGTTTGCTACAGAATAAATACAGTCACGTGTTCAACTAAAACGTCATCATGGAGACACAGAATCAGCTGTTTGGCGGATAAACACAAAAAAAAAACACGTGGTCATTTGTCGCCATCAAGCGGAAGAAGAGGCGAAGTACAGCTACGCGTCTACGTCAATAACCACGCACGACGTCATGACGTACTAATGTGACGTTTTCCAAAATTTGCGCGGGTTCCGTGTTGCTATGATCGTCTGTCCGGAAATCATCGATAAAAGGTAAATAAACCAATTGTTCTTATATTTTGAAATCCAGTTATGATCGTGAGACACAGCGTGGCTGCTCACAACACGCGGAGCGGCGCTGGTGACGCTGTGAACACCGGGGCTGCCATGTTTGTGTGGGTCCGTTACAGTAACTTGACAGTCTGAGATTAAAGTGAACTTTGTTTCTTCGTCGCAGATTCTCCGGAAACTTTCACCTGGAAAAGTGAAACCATGTCCAAGAGAGACGCGTTTCTAGAAGCTGCGCGTGAAGAGAGTGTGGAGCAGTTCCTTCGTTTCATCCAGTTACACGTAAGAATCTGTTTCATTCATACGAGTGAGTAAAACACACGAAGAATCCTGCAGGAGCTCAGGTGGAGCTCAGCACGTCGGTGAGAAGTGGCTGAAGAGATATTTCAACTATGAGCAGTTTAACTTTAATGCAGGGTTAAGATCAAACTTGACTGATCCCACACTGTGGAAACTGTCTGGTATCAGAAAGAGACATGAGAATATAAAACACCAATAAGAAATCAAATAGAACAGAATGTGAACATGATGATTATATATACACCCCTCACTGTCTAGTTTTGTTAGAAATGTACTTCAGTAAAGTGTAGTATCACTGTACTATACCTGGAACACTGTACCCACATGGAATTAATCAACATCACAACTTTTTCTAGTTTTTTTTTAGTTTATGAAATAATGTGGAAAAGATAGGACAGGCACTACCAGAGGATACGTTGTGTTTTAACCACCTCTTCTGCATTAGTTGTAAATAATGTGGTCATTTATTTTCTGCTGGTGTGACTCCTGAGTGTGTAAATACAGACGGATATTGTAGCTGATAATATCCAAGCTTTGTCTTTGCCCTCCTCCTGTTTGTGTCTTTGAGCAGAAGGACAAAGCGGAGCCCTTCGATGTGGAGGAGGTGGTGCAGGAGATGCCCAGAGACCAGAGGGAGGCTCTGTGGGGAAGACTGGATTCGCTCCTTCAACACTTCCTGCGGGAGTTACCTCCCGAGCGCTGGGAGGAGGGCGGAGAGGGGGGCGGAGGAGAAGTGGAGTCAGCGGTGGACCCTGTGAGTTTACCAGTTAGATGATGTTCAGTTGTAGAACAAGTTTTTTTTTTTTTTAATATATATATATTTGTAGACCACGACTGTGCAAACAACCATTGATTTTAGATTCTTTGTGAATTGTATGCTATGGGATTTGGCATGTACGAACATGATGTTCCCACCGGATTCACAGTATTCTTTGCATATGAAATCTATTTGCATTTTTATGAACATCTCTCTCTGTTTCTTCTCTCTTCAGAAACATGTCATGGCTGTTGTGGATGGCGTCGCTCTGGTGGCTTCAGTGTCTCTAAAGGTTTTACAAGACGGTGAAACCTACCGGGCCCTTCTGAAAGTTGCTCACAGACTTCATGGTGTTTGTTTTTGCCAATTCTCTCTCTCTTTACAATCTTTCTCTCTCTTCATTTCAAAACAACAGCCATTTTCCTTTCTTGTTTTGCAGGAAACTAGTTTTTGAATTCTCTCTGTGTTTCCCCCCCCTCCCTCAGCTGTTCTGGTGTCACTGCCCGTCTCAGAGGCTCCGTTGCAACACCATATCCACACACTTTGCGAGGCTTGGTGGAAGAAGGGGCTGAAAGAGAGAGAACCGTTTGGTCGCACCGCTTTTCTCATCTCTCTGCAGAAAAGTTTCATTTTGAAGAAACCGGTCAGTGTTTTCTGATCTGGCAATATTGTCTCTGCACTGAAAAGACTTGAGGACAATTATGGGCTTGACATTCTTCTCTTATAACACTTTCTCATCTTGTATCTTATTGTCAGGGTGTTGAGATCCAAAGACTGTGGAGTCTCCATGATGTGCTTTTGAGTCTGGACTACACATCAGAAGACAACAAGCAAATCGTCGACTTGTTGCTTCAATGTTTTCACCTTCCTGTTTACATGAGAAACGACGACGTGAGTTGAAAAATTTTGCCAAGTCGCGCAAGTTTTTCTGTTTTCCTGCTTCTTTTTCTATGAGCCGTCAACCCGATGATGTGTATGTTGTCACAGGGGAAGCGATTCCTGGTGTTTCTTTTCAGCTGGAACGTCGACTTCATCTGGGTTATTCATGGCACCATCAAAAACCAGCTAGAGTTTTATAACAAGTAAGACGCCGACTTGACTCTGTTTGACAGAAGCTAATCTTCCCTTCATCTCACCCGACTATTAACTTGTTTTGTTCAGAAGCGTAACTGCTCATATCACAGAGATCTACTTCAGAGCGTGGAAGAAGGCTAGTGGCGAGTTCTTGGAGCAGATTGAGAACTTGTGCATTCAGGATTTCATGCAGTGTGCCATCCTCCTTCACAGAGCCTCTCCTGTCCATGCCAAAGTCCGACAGGTAGATCTGTCTCCCAGCTGTATTATTTTCTGGTGTTGTCATCACGTGCACTGTGTGTGTGTCTAATCTCTGATCTCCCTGCTCTTGTTTGCAGATTGTGAGCTATTTCCACACAAGGAAGGGCTGCAACAAAGTGGACAAAATGCTCCATGATCTCTACAAGCCTATTCTCTGGAAAGCTTTAAATGTACGCACACAGATTTTCAAATGCGTTTGTGCCGTTATTTTATTCTCGTCAAACACGATTCTGTTTGATTTGTTCAGGCTCCGAACTATGAGGTACGAGCAAATGCCACTCTGCTTTTCACTGAGGCCTTCCCAGTGCACAACCCGGATCAGACCAATGAGCATATAGATGAGACCATTCAAAAGCAGCTGGACACAATAATGGTGAGAACTATTTTAACAATTTTACCACTTTTTGTAATGATTTGGAGAAAGTCAAACTTCCATCTGTCGTTGTCAGGCCCTCCTCGAAGACCCTCACCCCACTGTGAGGTCAAATGCCACCCTAGGAGTCTGTAAGATCCTGGCTAAGTGCTGGGAGCTTCTCCCTCCCACGATTATCACAGACTTCCTAAAGAAGCTGGTGATTGAGTTGTCAGCTGACACCAGTTCTCCTGATGTCCGATGTTCAGTCTTCAAGGTAGGAATCACGTTTTCCTCAAGTTAAACTGTGATGATGATATCCTATCCAACATCTAAGATGAGGACATTTTAACAAACTTTCATCCAAATATTTTGTCAGGCCAAATTAACGAGATTATTATTTGATTTCTTGTTGCACGGCTGGTGTTAATGGGAGTAAACAGGATATTTAATTGCCTGTGGTTTGTGCGATGCTTCCCCTAGTGTCTGACCATCGTCCTGGACAACGCTCTCAGCCATCCACTGCTGGAAAAACTCCTGCCTACTCTCAAGTACAGCCTTCACGACACCTCGGAGAAAGTCCGCACAGCTTTCCTTGACATGCTGCTCAAGGTCAAGGCAGTACGAGCAGCCAAGGTACTTAATTATATAACACCAGAGCTAATGTTGTGAAAGGGTTTGGATCTCTTCCTAAACCAAACCATGTAGTTTTGTTCCCTAAACTCAAGTGACGTTCCTGCCTGTAAGGTTTCTGGTGAAGGCAAACTTTTCCCAGCAGCCATCTTGGTACCTTCAGGCAGTTATTTCATGATCACAAGGACTCCTCTGAATACATATGGAGGAAGCCACAATTCTGCTCATAATCCCTGAAGCTGTTTGTCTCTCACTCTTCTCAATCTTTTGTTTCACTCTCCAGTTCTGGGACGTGTGCAACATGGACCACCTGCTGGCCCGTTTGGCTATCGATTCTCAGTCAGTCTCCAAGCGTATCGTCGACCTGCTCTTTAAGTCCTTCTTCCCTGTCAACGAGACGGAGAGGGAGTGGTGCTGTCGCTGCATCACCCTCATCCAGATGAATCCCATGGCTGCCAGGAAGTTCTATCAGCATGTTTACAGACACACTGCCCCGACTAACATAAGTAAGTGCTGTGTGTGAGACACAGTTTGTTTTCCACAAACAGAATACAGTTGGTCCAATGTGATTTCTAGTACTCCTCTTTAATTTCATCACCTTTGCTCTTCTTCTTTTCCAGTAAAGATGATGTTGGCCATCCGCCGCGTGCTGAACAGCTGTATCCAGACTGACTTTGACGTGACTGAGATTAACGAGAGTATCAAG